AAGTTGGAAGGGACCTTGGAGGTCATCGAGTCCAACCCCCTGCTCAGGCAGGAACCCTACACCATTTCAGACAAATGGCTGTCCAGTCTCTTCTTAAAAACTTCCAGTGTTGGAGCATTCACCGCTTCTGGAGGCAGGTTGTTCCACTGGTTAATTGTTCTAACTGTCAGGAAGTTTCTCCTTAGTTCCAGGTTGCTTCACTCCTTGATCAGTTTCCATCCGTTGCTCCTTGTCCTGCCTTCAGGCGCTTTGGAGAATAGCTTGACTCCCTCTTCTTTGGGGCAGCCCCTGAGATATTGGAACCCTGCTATCACGTCCCCCCTCGTCCTTCTCTTCGTTAAACTAGACATACCCAATTCCAGCAACCGTTCCTTATATGTTTTAGCCTCCAGTCCCCTAATCCACTTTGTTGCTCTTCTCTGTACTCTTTCTAGAGTCTCAGCATCTTTTTTACATCATGGTGACCAAAACTGGATGCAGTATCCCTCTGTTCATTTTTGACACAGATGACCTCTTTGACCCCTCTTTCAAACAGTTTGATCCTCTCTGTCCAAAATGTGAACTTTGCTGTCTTCAAAAAAGTGGACTTTGTCTTTTAAATGCAGATGGACTGCTGATTCCTGTCCTGAGGTGTTGTGCCACGCGTTTAGGTCTTCAAAGAAAAACCAGAAAGTCCAGTTGCCTCGTGAAAAAAAAAAAAAAGAACCTTTGAGACAACCATGACCTGGATGACTAAGAACCTCCTTAGACACACAGAGCTGGATTTCGGCCCTCTAAAAATTAGTGACATGGGGACTTAAAACAGAATAATTTTAGAGCTTTCAGGGGACCCATTCACGGGGAAGTTTGAATGAACTTTGCCTCCTCTTAAGAGTGGTGCCTCTTAAGAGTATTGTCCCATCACTAACAAACATGTAAGAGAGAGGAGATTGGAAAGATTTCGTTGCTTACATCATCTTTTAGTTTTCCTATGTTTCGGCATGCTCCATAATCCTCATTCCTTAGGGAAGAGCTACAGTTTCTAAAATGTTCTCATTGATTCAAAAGTTCCAACACTGTTGAATGGGACGCTACCAGCTATCCTAGGGATGTAATTGCAGGAATTCGGTATGTCTAATCTGGGGGAAAGAAGGACTAGGGGAGGCATGATGGCAGGGTTCCGATATCTCAGGGGCTGCCCCAAAGAAGAGGGAGTCAAGCTATTCTCCAAAGTGCCTGAAGGCAGGACAAGAAGCAATGGATGGAAACTCATCAAGGAGAGAAGCAACCTGGAACTAAGGAGAAATGTCCTGACAGAGAGGACAATTAACCAGTGGAACTACCTGCCTCCAGAAGTTGTGGATGTTCCAACACTGGGGGTTTTGAAGAAGAGATTGGACAGCCATCGGTCTGAAATGGTATAGGGCTTCCTGCCTGAGCAAGGGTTGGACTAGAAGACCTCCAAGGTCCCTTCCAACTCTGTTACAGGTAGCCATTTAGTGACTGTTCCGAGTTACAACAGCCCTGGAAAAAAAAATCAGATCAGCTTTTGCAGCTAACTTAACAATGTCAACGTTTCACTGAAAAAACAGTCACCAGGAAAGCCGTAACAAGGGGGTCAACGCTCACTGAACACATGTTTCACTTAGCAACATCCATGTTGGGCTCAGCCGTGGTCGTAAGCTGGGGACTGCCTGTATGTTCTTGTTACATAACTTCCAGGCAGCAACTGGGTCCTTGCCACCTTCTCCTGGCCTTTCTGAGCTAGCAAAAACTCAAGGAAAGACGCAGGAGCGCGGCGTATCCCCAACCTATTTCTTTCCAAAAAGGAGATCTGAGAAGAGGCCTTTTCTTTTACAAAAAAAAAAAAAAAACATTTCCAAGGCTGGCACAAAAGACAGATGGGGTCAACCAGCGCTCCTTTTGAATCCGACAAGCCTCCTCTCAGCCAACAGTGTGCTGTGTCAGCTGCTGACGTCAGAGTCAGTCTGGAAATGGGATGCTTCGCAAGCTTTGTTATTTTAGATCTGAGCTGGCGGGAAGAGTTGCTGGACGGGGAGAGAGAGAGAGAGAATGCTCTCTCATTCCTTCTTTTCTTAGGCTGAAACTACAATGCTGGGCTAACCAGGGGTGTGATACGTGCCAGAAAACTTATGTACATACTCCAGAAAGCCATGAGGGTAAGGAAAGATTTTTTGGGTTTTCTTTCTCCTTCCAAATCCTGCCTTTCTTGCTTTTCTTCCTTCCTTTTTCCGCTCCCTTTCCATGGGGCTAGCTGGTGGGTTTTTTTTTTTTGAAACTCTGTTAAAAGAAATGTTGAATGAAAAAGAAACTTGATAGATTGAGCCTACTCTAGGCAAGTGGTTAAAAAGTCATGCATGGGAAGACTGTTAGCTGGTTCTGGCTTACCGTGGGAGAAACTCAAATTTTAAGGAGAGAGATTGGAGTTATTCTTGGAGAAACTCAAATTTTAAGGAGAGAGA